TCACCTTGCTATAGGAAGGATATTATTAAACTGGAAATTGTGCAGAAGAAATTTACAAGGATGTTGCTAGGTCTCATGAGACTGAATTACAGGGAGAGGTTGGATGAGCTTGGACCTTTTTCTATAGAGTGTGGGTTACTGAGGGGGTATCTTATAAAAGTGTATCAGATCATGAGAGGCATGGATAGGGTGAATGCACTCAGTCTTTTTCCCAGGGTTGGGGAATCGAGGACTCGAGGGCATCAGTTTAAGGGAAGAGGGAAAATAATACATGGGAACCTGCGGGGCAACTTTTTTACACAGAAGGTGGTACACATTTGGAACGAGCCGCCAGCAGAATTGATTGAGGGGGGTATATTAACAACATTTAAAAGGCATTTGGACAAAAACATGGAATGGAAAGGTTTAGAAGGATATGGGCCAAGTGCAGGGAAATGGGGTTAGCGTGAATGGACATTTTGGTCGACATGGTCCAGTTTGAGCTGAAGGGTCTGTCTCCATAATGTAGGAATCTATGACTCTATGACTCTGATGTCGTGTGACTTCTGACCTTGCTTAAATATTCTGACAGGTCCCACTTCAACACCTCAGGCAGCAAGTTCCATCTACCCAAACCGCCTACCCTCTGTGTGAACACTTATTCCTTAATTCCCTAAAACTTCTCTAAACATCCTGCATACTACCTTAAATCTATACCACCAATTACTGACCCTGCTAAGGGGAGAAATTTCTTCCCATCTTCCCTATTAATGCCCCTCATAATTTTGTACACGTTAAGGAAAATAACCCTAGCCTATGTAGTCTCACTTACGGCTGAAATGCTCTATCATGGGCAACATCCTGGTCAATCTGCTTTGCATCTTCTCCTGTGAAATCACATCCTTCCTATAGAACTGAAACTGCACACAATGTTCCAAGTGTTTCCTAGCTAATGTTTTATGCAGCTCTAACATAACATCCTTATTTTTAGATTCAATTCCTTGACTAACTCAGGTAAGAATGCCATATGCCTTCTTAACCGCCTTATCTACCTTCATGCTGCCTTCAAGGATCTATGTAAAAATGCACTAAGGCCCTTCAGTCCTCTGTATGCTCTACTATCATACCATTAATCAGATAATCTCTCGTCAGTCCTAACAAAAGGCATCATCTCACACTTTCCTGGATTGAATTCAGTTTGCCACTGTTCTGTCCATTGGACCAGCCCGTCCAGACACCCTGTAGTCTAAGGCTTTCCCTTTCATTGGGGCAGCACGGTAGCACAGTGGTTAGCACTGTGGCCTCACAGCACCAGGGTCCTAGGTTCAATTCCAGCCTCGGGTGACTGTCTGTGTGGAGTTTGTACATTCTCCTCCGTGTCTGCGTGGGTTTCCTCCAGGTGCTCTGGTTTCCTCCCACAGTCCAAAGATGTGCAGGCTAGGTGGATTGGCTATGCTAAATTGCCCATAGTGTTCAGGGAGGTGTAGATTAGGTGGGTTATAGGGGGATGGGTCTGGGTGGGATGCTCTAAGGTTTGGTGTGGATTTGTTGAGCCAAAGGACCTGTTTCCACACTGTAGGGATTCTATTACTTACCACCCATCCAATTTTTTGTGTCATCTGTGAAGAAACTGATCAAACCTCATATATTGCTATTTAGATCATCAGAAACAGTAAGGGATCCAGCATCAAACCCTTCTGCTGGACATAGGCTTCCAGTCATGAAAACAACCTTTGACCATCTGCTTCTTGCTACTAAGCTAATCTTGGATCCAATTTGACAAATTGTCCTGGATCCCATGGTTACTTGCCATCTTGACCAGTGTCCCATGCAAGATCTTGTTAAAAGCCTTACTAAAGTCCATGAAGACTGCATCAATCCTCTTCTGCAAACCTCCTGAAAAAATTCAATCACATATGTGGGACACAATTTTCCCCTTACATGCTGACCAGTTTTTATTCATCCTTGCCTCTCCAAGTGGGATTAATTCTGTCCCTCAGACTTTTTATTCAATAGTTTCCCTATTCCTGATGTTAGATTCATTTACCTGGAGTTTCCTGTTCATCCTTACCACCCTTCATGAATAATTGTGCCACATTAGCTGTCCTCCAGTCCTCTAGCAACCCTCCTGGACAGGACATTCTACATTCTGTTTTATTCACCTGGCTTCTATGATTCTATGAAAAGGCTGTCCTGGATACAATGTCCCCTCTAAACTGCATGGCTTCCGTATTCTGGAAAGTAGAATCTATACTATTATTCCCCTATCATTTTTACCATTCTTACAGTTTTACATATGTATCTGTCCTTCTATCTCTCCCTGACTGTTTGGGGCATCTATAGTACACTCCCAGCATTGTGAATTCCCCCTTTTTGCTTTTAGGGACTGTGTACACAGCCTTAATTGAGGATCCTTCAAAGATATCATTTAAAGCTTCCGTCCTGCACCGACTCTTCAGCCACACATTCACCCACTCTCTGTTCCTATATACATGAGCATATGGCACTGGGAGTAATCCAGAGATTACAACCTTGAAGATCTCACTTTTCAATCTGCTACTTGGCTACCTTTCTTGTTGCAGGACTTCATCTCTCTTTCTGCCGATGTTATTGGTCTCAATGTGAATCTCAGTTCCAATCTGCTCCACATTGCTTCCGAATCCTGTGCAGCCATTCAATGACATCCTTGACACTGGCCTTTGTGAGAAGTGAGACCATCCAGGAGTCACCTCTGCAGCTGTAGAAATCCCTGTCTATACCCCTCACTGTTGAGTTTACTACCACTATTGCTTGTTCTCCTTCCACTTTGTGCAGGCAACTGTGACTGTACTCCCCAGAGGAACTGTCACTCATATTGTTTTTCAACACAGAAAATTTGTTCTTGAGTAAGATGCACTTTGGAGCTTTCCTGACTACCTGCTCGCCACCTTTCCTCTAACTGATGTACGCAGTTCCTGACATTTTCCTGAGACATGGCAGACATTGGAAATGTGGCTCCCATCTTTGTGGGCAGGGACCTGGACATCCTCCTGGATGGGGTGGTGCAGACACAGGACATCTTCTTCCCTCAGCATCACAGAGAAGACCACAACACCAGACCATGCCAGCCTGGTCCAAAGATGCCACCTGAGTCAGTGCAGTCTCATCTGTCTAGAGAAAAGCAAAGTAATGTAGGAAGAAGGTCAATGACTTTCTTGACCTTGCCACATTCTTCTGTCTGAAACTTTACTTTCATTCTGCCTCTACTACTATACCCAGCTTCCACTAAGGCCCAAGCTCCAGCAATCTCATTATTGCAATCAGCATTCTCCCTCACTCACTGTCATTCACCCCAAACCCTGACATCACTAACCCTGTGTGCCCTCTGCACTGCCTACTCACTGCCTCGGGACACTTCCTCATTGCTGTGCCACCCACTTTTGTTGCCCTTAATACTGCCTCTTATTTATTCCAGGAGGAAAGCAGCTCACAATAGGGAAGAAAGAGTCAAGACGGGTGGTGGACTGTCCTATGTTCAGGTCCTCACTCCTATATGGAAAATATCCTTCCTGTGATCACCCTGAGTAGCTGACTGAGCCCCTGGACTGGAATCGGAGACTGCCCTTAGCTAATTGTGCCAGCAGCCCCAGCTGAAGGCTGTGTCACTTGACTTGACTGAGACCTGCTGACAGCTACGTCAAGGTTCTGGTCTTTGTGTCTGCTGTAAATGGCAAGGCAAGACAAAAATAATATGACCCTGGTATCTTTGGCTGAAGAAGCAAAACACAAAAGGAGAAAGCTAGGTAAAGCAAGGCAGGGTGCAGTGGGCACCCTGATAGCCTCAGGATGAGTGAGTGCTATGACTGTGAGTGAAGAGTCTGCAGATGCAGCCTGGTTCAGTCCATGAGCTGGGTGCATGTCTCTGACCGCACATGGTCCTTGCTGCAGTATTACAATGATATTTGCCAGTACAGCCTGAGGCACAGCATTGAAGTGCAGAAGCATCCTCTAAGTGGATCATAGATGAGGGGTCTTAGCAGTCTGCACCATGTTGGATGCCAGTGTCCATAGACAGGGATGTGTGTGTGATTGGTGGCCGTGAAGTGTACCCTGAGGTATTGGTGCCCGGTGTCCAACATGGAAAATCCTCAGAGCAAGCAGTGAGCTGAAGTCATCAGGTAATACCCATCCTGAACCCTATGTGAAAAATTCAGTTTGTAGTTTGGTCGGCACATTCGATAAGATAGTAAACTGCAGATTAATGATGCAAGACGTACCATTAATAATGTGCTTAACAACCCGTCTTAATAGGCAACTGGTTGTTGCCTAGCAAGAAACTGGCCTCACAGCTCAGTAAATGTTAAAAAGGTGTAGAGAGTAGCTCCCAACATCAAGATAGGCCGTGCCAGACTTCTTACCTTGTTCTGCCTCAGACCTTGCCATTGCCCATGTTGCTGAGGCCCTATAAGATTCTGTCCTAAGTTTCAATGAATCACTTATTTTCAATACTACTTTCCATATGCATTGTTTTTTTGTACAATCATCTGCACGTATATAATCTTTTCATATATTTTGAATGATATGAATATTTATGTCTCATCTATTTAGATTTTGTATCTTTACATTATTCATTTAATTAACTATATGATATTACATAATATTAGATTTATGGTAGTTATCCAATTATCTTCTTGTCCAACTGTCTAACATTTTACTTGCTGGAAGGTAGTCTCTGTAAAGATTGAAGACCAAATGATTTGCAGAGGATAAAAAATGGGATATGAAGTAAAGATGTAAAAGTGGGACGCAGAATGTTACTAACAGACTATTCTGTGAAAATCAGAATCATAAGCAAAAATACAAAGCAGAGCAGAGTGTAAGAGTCCCTGAAGACCAGGTAGTTGCTCTCAGGCAAAAAAGAAAATTTAGCAGCTTGATGTGTCAGGAGCTAGTGATCCATTACACTTCTAATAATAAAATAGAAAATGAAGTCTTTCAGAAGGTTTTGCTGACTGGCTAATTCTGTTTTTCTTTTTGTGCAGAATGATTCATGGGGGATGCAGTATTCATATGCACTGTTCAAAGCTATGAGCCATATGCTTTGCATAGGCTATGGAGCTCGGGCACCAGTGTCTATGTCTGATCTCTGGATAACCATGTTGAGCATGATAGTGGGAGCCACGTGCTATGCAATGTTTGTTGGCCATGCGACAGCTCTCATCCAGTCATTAGATTCATCAAGACGACAGTACCAGGAAAAGGTAGGTGTTCAAACATATCCTCATAGATGGTTTTGTAATTAGACAATGTCATGGTTAATCCCATAAGCATCTCCACATTTAGCAGTTGTTTTTTGATTTTCAGACATGCATAGACCGAGACACCTAAGTGTACAGGTACACCATGTATTTGTTAGCAACTCAGTAAGGCTGAAATCTGCATACTCATGTATTTCTCACTATCATTTATTGGAGAAACCTATTTTAATTGATGATCCATACTCCACTCACATTCCCACATCCCTCCCAGATCATGGAAGATAAATGTAGTGCTTTTGAAGAGTTTTCATTTGTTTTATTTGCACATTTTAAGACATAAAATTAGTTCTATCACTACTGTATACATGAATCAAGCGCTAATAAATCATCATGTGCTTTGATTTTAAAAAATCATGATTTATTCCATAAGATAAACAAATGAAATTATTGTAAGATGACTTTAATGATTAAATGTTTTAAATTCAGTAAAAATGTAAAGTTGCCATAGTGCTACCAGACCATAGAGCTACTCTTTCATTAGAGAGAGTTGAATGGTGGTGGTTCGGCGTGTCTCTGGTGAGGGGAAAGCTTGAGAAGGAGAGTTCTTCATGGTAACCTCAGCTACTGTGGGAACTGAACCAATGCTGCATAACAAACCAGCTGTCCAGCCAACTGAGCTAACCAATCCCTCACCAGAAACAAATTCGCTATATCAAATATGACTGCATCATTTTGTATTGAAAGGGGAACAAAGCAAGACTGCAGAATTACCTTTTCAGGAGGGTGGGTAGCTAGCTGGGAGTGGGAGTGAACCAGTTTTAACATATGGTACCTAATTCCTGAATGAGTGCTTGACGAAACATCTCAATAATGTACCCTGGCTGTACGCAGCAAGCAGTCACAGCAACAACAATAATTATTGGAGGTCACAGCACGGATTGTCCCTTGTTTCAAGAATTGTGTTTGTGACTCAAAGCTCATTGCTGAAACATAATCCTTGAGGAGTTCAGTTTAACATGTTCTCAACACAGTTATTCTTACAGGATTTTGAGAATGATATGTTCTACATTGTGTAGTGTTGCTGTGTTGTAACCTATTCAAATTGTTGCTCATTCATCACTCAGTCCTTTGGAGAATTCCTATTGATCTTTCCTGTGCTATAGTATTGTCACAGCAGAAAGCAGCTTGTACACAGTCAGAAACTTTCTGAAGAATATGATCTGAGATAGTTGACAACTGGGTTTGCCAAAATAAACCTAGAAATTGTTGTTCTGGTAATGGCATACAATTTATAACTCTTGAGAGATTCCTTCAAAACAAACTGCATATATTTAGTGGAAAACCTTATTCTGCTGCCTCAAAAGAATTAGATTTAATCAGCACACAGAATGGCTAAATTGACATGAGAACAAATTTTGACAAATGCTCATTTTTACTAATTTGGATGAACTGTCCTTTAGAGATAGTAAGAACTGCAGATGCTGGAGAATCTGAGATAACAAGGTGTAGAGCTGGATGAACACAGCAGGTCAAGCAGCATCAGAGGAGCAGGAAGGCTGATGTTTCGGGCCTAGACCCTTCTTCAGAAGGGTCATCATCAGCCTTCCTGCTCCTCTGATGTTGCTTGGCCTGCTGTGTTCATCCAGCTCTAGTCCTTTAGAGATGATTTTCACCAGTGTTCTGATGCATATAGTCCACTACTAAATAGTTGTACTTTAGACAAAATCAGCCACAAATTAAGTATATCACTACAGGAATTTGTAGTCTAAATTGTCAGTAAGTGAAGAACAGATGTTCTTAATAAACATGAATTAAAATAAATCACAAGTCTGCGAAGAAATTATTCAAGCCCAGTTAAAATTAGTGGCTATGTGAAAGGATAAAATATGCCAGGAATTGAAATGCTAAATTAAATCGGTGCATCTGTGGATCAAAGAGGTTTTGGTTCAGAACACATTCTGAATAATAACTTGTCTGGTCCTTTGACAATTATGAACAATATTATTTTATACAACATTATTATAAGCATAGGGGACTGAACCGTACAATACTTTGGCTAAGAATCATTTTCATCGAGTTTATGGAGAGCTTCTCTCTGTGAGGCTCATTGTGTTTTCTTGTGCCATCACCCAAACACCTCAGTAACTACCTACCAAACACTGTAGTGCCCTTCTTGACTAATGCTAGCCGGTTTCTACCATTTAATAGCCAGAGGTATGCGACACTGCTGGGATATCACGGAATAGACTGTTATCGCAGACATCATCTCTAAAAGACTATTGTGCACTCTGGCAGTCTGGAACAATCCTGTACTTTCCTGACATTGTTGCAGAGAGGAATGACCTTTCCCCAAATACTGGCAGAAAAGGCCACAAAGCCAGGCCCTTCTAGCCTCCTCTGAGGTTGGCACCAGGATCATTGTGGTCTGAGCTGTCTGGTGGAATGCCCATTACTGGAAGAAGGTTGATTACTTTCTTTGCTCTGTTGCCATTTTCTCTCTGTTACTTCACACTCAATCTCTCTCTGTTACTGCATTCACCTCCCACCTAGGTTCATGATCTACTGTTCCCACTATTGCATACAGCATCTTCCCCACTCACCCTCGCCCATCTAATCACTCCACACTACCAAACCTGCATGGCCTCTGCAACTCCTTCTCACTCACTTGGGACACCTCACCACTTATCTTCTACTTGCACTAACATTAATAGCTGTGCCACCCTCTCTTTTTCTCATTCAATCCCTCCCTTCTCTCAAAGCAGGAGAGAACAGCCCCTATGAGGACAGGGAGAACCGATATGGATGGTGTGGTGACCTAAATTCAGCTCCCCCAGTTCCTACGAGGAGCAGGTCCTAATCCTGACCTCTCCAAACAGCCAATAGACTGTTTTCAAGAAACTGGTCTGATAATGGAGCTTGATCTTGACTTACTGTCCTGGCACCCACTAATTGGGAGGTGTCTCCCCCGATACAACTGAGCACTACTCTGCACCAACTTTGAGACATATTCATTTGGTTGAAGCACATGCAGTAACCCTGCTGCATTAGCTGCTGGCATATGGTACACGTGTAACACTGACATAACATGGTGACCTGCAGCAGCATGTCCATCCCCTTAACTGGTAACTCTGACAAGCTGCCTGGCTTTGTGCCTGTGCTAAAAGGCAATGCATGGCAAGGCAAGACGAGGTAGAGATGCTGTGAGTATCCAAGTAGGTGCAAGGCGAGCAATCACTAGAGAGTCAGCCAGCATCCCTGAGGTGCAGCTGGGTCAACTCTAGGAGTGGAAAGTAAGTGTCTTTGCAGCAGCTTTAATAATGGTAGGCAGTGGTCCCTGAAATGCAACGATAAAATGCAAAAGAGTGCAATTAGTAGTTTGGAGTGTGCCAAGATGTTACAGAGAGGCTAGCAGGTGTTGGATGCCAGCGTGCATGGAGTGGACTGCATGTGAGAGCTGTCCCTGTGATGTTAGTGCTGGGTGTCCAAGATGATCGTGAAGAGTAGGCAGTGAGCTGGAGTCACCAGTACCCACTCTGACTTGCATGTCAGGCATTTCAGTATCTGATTTCTATCAATCCCACAGTCGAATTAACAGTTGATGAGCAGATCAATGAGGTGATATTTCCAGTTAATAAGGGTACTGACATGCAATAATCCCCATTCATAGCTCTCTCATCACTCCCTGGCGAGAATCTTGTATTGATGTCTAGACCTTTATTGGAAAATGCAAACAGTTGCTCCTGACATCGAGAATGACCTCAATGGTCTCCTCACATAATTCCTCCAGACTCTGCCTGGAGTGCTTTTCTCAGATGACTTCTTTTCTTTAGCAATGCAGTGTCTATTACTTGGTATTTTGCCTCATGAGTTTAAATGAATAAGAAATACAGGCCCAGATTGAAAACTGGTATTGAAGAATGGCTGAAGTTAACAAAGTTAGAAAAGGGGCACGTGCTCACAGTAAATGCATGGAACAAGAAGCTATTACATTATCTTGCATTTCTAATGATTAAGTATAGAGAATTGCACAAGAAGCTTCTTCAGCTGAAACTTGAAGGATTTTCAGCAATTAAGCAAGGATCAGGTTAAAAATACTATGTCAATGTAAATTGTGCCATAACTTTGTCAGTTCAAATTACTTATTTGTTGAAGAGGAAAAATTATTAGTACATTAATTGACATAACGTGTAAGTAAGATGTTTTATTTGTGCTCTTAGGGTAAAGGTTGGAAACATTTAGAAGTGCATGGATTTGCTTGTCACTTGATATTTTGCTCCTGGGTGACTCACCGGTTGTTTATTAATTCAATAAATTATTACATTTAAACAATGACATTTATGTGGGAGAAGAGTAGAGTATAATGGTGGGTTTACAGTCGAATGACCTCAGCTTTGAAATTTGCAGAAATATAAGCCCTGATTTAGAGTGAGGCCAAGCATCAACCAGAAATTGTTTCTGTCATTGTAATGGAATTGTAGTGGAATCTGTGTGACTGCAAGAAGCCCAGGGAAATGAAGACCTAAAGATTCTTTTTAGCACTTGAGCTCCTTTATGCTCTCAAGAAAACCAAAAAAAAAATCTTTCAAGCCTCCTCTGAGCCTACTGATTCTTGGCACTAAACTGCTGACAGTTAAGATGACAGTTGGAATCTCCCAGGAACTCTGTGTGTCTTCATACTGCTAGGCCACCCCCTTAAACAATATCTGCCATGAGTTCTGGCAAGTCAGATCAGGCAAAGTGCTCCAGCAACATCCAAGATGCAATAGTCTGCAGCCAAGTCTTGGGCATTCAGAAGCCCCAGATGTGAACATCTCAAGGGCTCCAAATAAACAGCTGTCTTCTTCAACTTTGCTGACACCAATAGGAGAACACTTCAAAGGAAAGCAGGATTTGTGAGTCTTTTTCATAGGAAAGTATAGGGGTTGATCACTGAATTCAAACTGTATATTATGTTTACTATTGAACTAATTTTCTTAATTAAATTTGGCAATTTGGTCTGCAGT